TTGCTACTGCATGCACTGAACATGAGAGTAGTTTCACTCGACATCATGCAGCAGCTGCATATGTAATCCGCAAATGCCAGGTGTGATGCCTGGTCGTGCACTGCGAGGGGTAGCGCAATCCATCGGAAGTGGAGCCATGGCCTGAGACAGATCGTGTGAGAAATATATTCTGTTATATATATATATATATATATATATATATTCGGAGGATGCATGCATGCTTGCTGCCAAAGAACAGGCTTGGCTCAGTCACAGTTCACGTGATCTCTATAGGTTTTTTGCAGTGGAAACATGACTAGTTTCCAAAGCCTCTATATATATATATATATTATGTATATATGCAACAGCTTCCTCGAGTGGCTTTGGGATCTACCTCTATATATGTTAAAAATGCTATCTCTGATAGACTGCTCCATGTGCTGGGATGGATGATGGCACCTTGGACGAATCGGAAGATGAGCTGCTGGAACTATTGACCTGTCATCGTTCCGTTAGCTCGGCAGCATCTAAATACTGTAGGGTTTCTTGCTTGTCTTGGCCGGCCCAAGTTCTTTTTCTGCTGAGCTCAGAAAACCGAGGTAGCTGAAGGCCAGTTTCCGTGGCATAGCAAGAGGACTCCAGTGACGTCGGTGCAAGCACCGACAGAGCAGGCTCAAGATCGGGATGTTGCTACAATGATTTCGAATTACTTCAAGACAATGGAAGGTGAAAAGCAGGCCAGAGCCAAACCTCCGAAGCAGCAGAAAATTCCCCAGCAAGAAGTGCATTCGTGCACAGCCGAGTGCCAGGCTGTTGCCAGCATTTCGTACGTCTTGCCCCATGCAGGAGCGCTAGCAGGGAGAATCCTTGCGCATGCAGTACGCCACATGGAAAAGCTATTTCGTGACAAAGGACCATTGATTTTTAAGATCGGGTTTACACATAATCCGGTATGGCGCTGGACGAACACTCTGTATGGATATTTGCACGATCCTGATGGATGGACAGACATGCAAATTCTCTACATCAGTCATGAGAGTTATGGACCTGGGATGCTCGAAGCCAGCCTTATCGATAAGTTTGGGGGCAACTTGTTCGCAGTGATATGTCTTTCTACCCATTTAGGACACATATATACTTACACCCAGTCACTGGTACATGCACAAGCAACTTCACTTCAGCTGAGGCAGGCCTGGATGTCGAAATGTGAATGCCGGAGGCGACACAATCAAAGCTGAGCTCTCTACCTCAGAAAGCAAGTATATGGTATATGTCGTGTACAAGTCTTTGCAAAAGCCTTTCACACGCAAGCGGCCATCCAAGTGCTGCAGCTGTGGTGCACTAGTGGGAAAAAGTTTCGGAGCTGGCTCATGTGCTGGACATGCGATTTCACAGTGTGGCAGCTCTTCGCACTGTCTGGATGTATGGTGTGCATGAGAGAGAGCCTCTCTCTATCTCTCTTTCCCTCTCTCTCGCTCGCTCGCCCGCTCTCTCTCTCTCTCTCTCTGTCTTTGTCTCTCTCTCGCGACTATATATATATATATGTCTATACATGATCAGTATCTCCAGTGTCATATAATAAGTGTGTGTGTGTGTATATGGCTCGCCGAGGCCAGCTACCGATCAGCGATTCAAGCTGCACGCGACGTGGTGGCAGACATAGGGGAGCAGGCGGCTTCTGCAAGTGGAGGCCTTGTGGAGCTAGCAAAGTTGTCTGACAATAAATCTGAGAGGGATGGTGTGCGGCTCCTACAGAGCAAAGCTGGTCTCAGTTTGCCGATTCCACTCACAACGCTCGGGGAGGGGGACCTTCGATTCCCCATTCTACGATTACGTGATTGGGGGCAGTTTCTTGCTGACCGGCACTGCCTCCACATGCTGGTCGGACTGAATAAACCCGACTGGAAGAGAGAAGCAGATATCTGTGAACGGTTTTGGTCTTTATACCAACAGCTGGAGCCCAACCACGAGATTTTCCAGCGCTTTGCCGGGGGCTCACTGGATCCACGGTGTACGTTTCCTTTCGCCTTCCACGGCGACGAGGGCAGAGGCAGGCGACGACTGCCCTTCCTGGTGTGCAACTTTCACAGTTTATTAGGTAAAGGGACACAGGAGCAAAGTGGACAACGACGACCCTACCTGAAAATCCGGATGAATTTCATAGGCAGCTCCCTGGTCACAAGGCTTCTTCATAGTGCAACCCCCAAGAAGCTGCAGCAGAAACCACACGTTTTCGAGGCTTTGATGGACAATGCATGTGAAGAAGCTGAGTTTATGATCAATACTGGTGTGGTGCAACAACACACGGGCCGCAAAGTCCGAAGGCTTTTCGGTATAGCTTTTTCATTCTCATGTGATCGCTGATAACGGTTGCCTTAGGCAGCACAGGTTCTTATAGTGCCGAAGATTATATATATATAGGGTTCAAGGATAATTGGCTTTGTAGGAACTCCTTCCGATGCTACTTTCAAACAATGAAGAAGTTGTCCGGCCCAGGTATGGTTCGCGGTGATTGCCGTAACAGGCGATTGGCCCTGGCTTCACCGCTGTGGCTCCCTCTGTCGCAGTTTCAACAATGTTCCGAAGAAAACTAGTGACAAGATGACTGGGATCTGTCATCGATGCTGTGCTGGCGCCCCAGATGTGCCATGGGAAGCGATTCATGAAAGAAATCCACTTTGGCTGCGGTCCACATTTTCTGAGAGTGCATTTGCAAAGGTACCAGCTGTGTCTCGATTGCTGTCAGTGCCTGGCCAGGAGGAGGGCGTCCTCTGCTTTGATGTGTTTCACGCCTATCATCTCGGCGTCGGCAAACATTTTGTTGGGAGCGCCCTCGCTCTTTACAGCTCCCAGTTTGCTGGTCGGGGTGTCGACGAGCGCTTCGAAAACCTGGAATCAGATTTCTTCTCCTGGTGCAGATTGAGGAAGCAAGTTCCAGTCTTGACTCGGCTAACGAAGGAGACCATTCTCTGGTCCACTACGAAAGAATGGCCAGCTGGCAACTGGTTCAAGGGGGCCGTGACAACAGTATTGTCGAAATATCTGGAGGAACGCCTGTGCTCCCGAACCTGGCCCCAAGAACCCATGCTCGAAAAAGCTGGTGAGGGCATCAAGGCGATTAATTCTTGTTTATCGTCACTTTACGCTTCGGATTTGTTCCTGGATCCATCGCAGGCTGTGGAGGTGGCTGAACAGGGGCTTCGCTTTTTGAGGCGGCTGTCATGGTTGGCGAAGCATGCTCTGAACGAGCAGCGGACGCTGTGGCTTCTGACTCCTAAAGCTCATGCTCTACACCACATGTTCCTGGAGGACATGTTGCTCCCTGCTTTACGGGGTGTGAGCCCCTTGAACCCTTTGGGGCTGAGCGTCCAAATGGATGAAGACTTTATTGGAAAGGGCTCACGATTGGCGAGGCGAGTCGATCCACGAACTTGCTCCCAGCGTGTTTTGCAGCGCTACTTGTGCTCCGCATATGCGGCGTATGTCAAAGTGAGATACATCATACCACGCTCATAGTTGCACACACTTCAATTGTGTGATAACATTGAGAGTGACCGGCTTGTGTACACACATGTATGTGCATATATCGAACATTCTTACAGTGTGTGTGTGCATCTTGAGCTAGCCGAGCTGGGATCCCGGCATTCGCGGTCCGACCCGCGACCACGAGCAGAAAGGCCACATCGGAAAGTTCGGGGGTGTCGAAGTGGGTCTTTTTGAGGTTTATTCGGGGAGTTTGGGGCCTTCGAGATGGGTCTTCTTGAGATTTATGTTGGAGGTATCAAGGGTTGCAACAAGGGCTGAATTTGGGCTGAAGTACTACTTCTACAAACACCTCCAAAAGCATGGGTTTCAAGAAACCCGTCTTTCCCAATAATAACCCGGTTTTGTCCCATAACCCTGTTTTTTTAAGGTTTAGGGTTCCCTAGGTAAATCCGTGAATAAATACCAGCACTCCGCTCCCCCCCCCTCCGGGAAAAAAGGACACAGTTTCCCCCTCCCAAATCCGTGAAGAAATACCAGCGCTCCGCTCCCCCCCCCCAAAAAAAAAAAGAAAGGACACAGTTTCCCCCTCCCAAACACTCCCCCGCCCGCCCCCTCGTGGAAAAAAACCACGGCCTCCCCCCCCCCCCCCCCAAAAAAAAAAATACAGACACTCTCCCAAACACTCCCCCCCCCCCCCCCTCGCGGAAAAAAAATACCACGGCCTCCCCCCCCCAAAAAAAAAAATACAAACACTGCTTCCCCCTCCCAAACACTGAATCCGTGAAGAAATTGCCCCCCCCCCCCCCCCCCCCCGCTCCAAAAAAGAAAGAATTACACAGCTCCCCCTCCCAAACAATAAATCCGTGAAGAACTACCAGCGCTCCGCTCCCTCCCCGCGCCCCGAAAAAAAATTACATAGCTTCCCCCTCCCACACTAAATCCGTCAAGAAATAACAGCGCTCCTCTGCCGCCCCCTCCCCTCGGCACAAAAGGACACAGCTTCCCCCTCCCACAAACCCTAAATCCGTCAAGAAATACCAGCACTCCGCTCCTCCCCCCACCCCCCTGCCGAAAAAAAATAAGACAGTTTCCCCCTCTCAAACACTAAATCCGTCAAGAATACCAGCGCTCCGCTCCATCCCATCCCTGCCGGAAAAAAAAAGCTACACTGGTTCCCCCTCCCTAACACTAAATCCGTCGACAAATACCAGAGCTCCGCTCCGCCCGTTTGTTATTCTTTTTTTGGGCTCCATGAATTTCGTCCGCTTCGTTGCGTTGCAGAAGCGCCCGGCCCAGCCGTCGACAGGCGGCAGGAAAGGACACGGTCGGCGGAGCAGTGCTCGGGGAAACGTCTCTCAGAGATTCCTCTCTCAGACGTCGCCACACTGTGTCGCTGCTCCCCTGAAGCGTGCAGGCTTCATGGTAGCCGCCGCACGGCCGCACGGCAACGTCAACAAGTGAAGGGGGGGACGGGGCTGTGGGCCCTGTGGGCCCTGTGGGCCCTGTGGGCCTCTGGGCTCTTGCAGCCGAAGCTCCGGCCAGAAGGCCAGCACGCCCAGCCAGCCCACGAAGATCAGCAACGTCATGAGGATGATCACCTTACAAACAAGACGCGAAAGTGGATCCTCCTCCCAGCGATGCAGGGCGTCACAGGCTTGAAAAGCAGGCCGAGTTGCACATTGGAAGTTCCTGAGGGAAGCACCAGCAAGGAGGGGCTGAACATCAACGGCTAGTTTCGCTAGACATCTTGGAGATAGCGCATGTTGCAGAGAGTGGCGATGATGGTTCTACAGTCGTGGTGGTGGTGGTGGTGGTGGTGGTGGTGGTGGTGGTGGTGGTGGTGGTGGTGGTGGTGGTGGTGGTGGTGGTGGTGGTGGTGGTGGTGAGGACGATGAGGGTAGGAGTAGGCTGGTGCATGAGATTGACGCTGATACTGGCGGTGGTGATGGTGATGCACCGACCGACAACCGTCCGGCAAGATAAGAATTGGAACAGCAGCAATAGACACACTAGTGACAAGAACTGTGAACAGGACAGAACAGGGCTGACTTGCTCCATCATGGATGTGAGTCTGATGAAGAAGGATGGTGATGAAGCTCCGGTTGTTCCCTTTGCTGTATACGCTCTCTAAGACTCTGTAGTGCCAGGCATCATCAGGAACATCATGCCCAGGCCGGCCACGGGCTTCCGTTGCAGGTTGGTGGAGAGCGGATAGAGCCCTCCGCTTTTCGGTTCCGCTTCGGCTCCGTCTCCGTCCGTCTCCTCGCAGAGAGCAGACAAAAGGAAGCCCCAGCAGCCCCTCTCTCCGAAGAGAGTTCCAAACCAACACCAACGGCGGCTCGTGGCAAACGGACCCCGTGCCCCCCCCACCTCGGAGAGCAGCCGGCGGCTCGTGGCGAAGGCGTCCACCGCCACCGCCGTCTCGGCCCCCCGCTCCTTAGACGCAGCGACTTGCCAGAAACGTCGGCTTCAGCTTCGGCGAAGCGAGGGCAGCAACTGGGCAGGCTGCTCGGAGGCAGCGCACGTCAACGTACCACGTTGCCTCGAGGCAGCGGCGAGGCAACGAGAGCAGGGGGCTCCTCCGCGTCTACGCCCCCCATCTTTGCCCGCGCAGTAAGTCCCACGCGATGATGAGCAGCAGGCAGCTCACCTGGCGTCGTGCTTCTGCAGGAGCAGGAGCCATCAGGAGCCCACAGCATCCCACAGCCCCCCCGCAGCCGAGGAGCGGAGCCGAAGACCACCGTCCCATTCTCCACGGCCTGGAGCCGAGCCGGAGCCGAGCCGCCGAGGCCGCCGAGGCTCCGAGGCGAGCGAGGCTCCGAAAAGGCTGGGAAAGAAGGCGCGCGAAGAGCGAAAGGCAAAGGCAAAGCCAATTACACGCTCCCCTTTGCTCCGTTCCGTTCTCCGTCTCTTCCGAGGGGCATTCTCGACGGTGATGCGGACCCATGAGAAGAAGCTGTCAGGCTTCTCCAAGCCTCCGCGGGAGGAGCTCTCCGAAAACTCGGGAGGTCGCCGGATCCAGCACTGAGAACTGAGGGCCGCTCAGGAACCACGGGACATCCGGTATCCATCAATGCAGTCTTCACAGTAGCTCTTCTGCGTTGAGGAGCACCGCCTGCCACAAATCGCGGCTTGCTCACGCAACCTTCAAGATGCGTGCTCCGAAGCGCGCAGCTCCTGCAGTTTCGGACACCGCACCGCGCGCAGCTGCGATCCTGCTCGACGGTCACCTCACTGCGAGATGGGGTGTTGCGGGTGTCCGCTTCTGCGACGTCGAGGACCGGGCATAGGCGGGGGACTCTTCGAAGGACGGACAGCCGGGGACGCATCGGAAGCTGCCTGAGCTTCAGTGGCTTGCCGCATGCCCCCGTTCCAACCCTTCGCCCATGGCCCGCCCTGGGACCCCTTCAGCCGAAGCGCAGTAAGCGTCGCTGATCTCCGACCAATAGGAGCAGACACTTGGGCACTTCGCCTCCTACGCAGCACATATCCGACAGACTGCAGTGGAAACGATGCCCACTCCGGAATCTCGCGAAGTGGAAGCCTGAACCCTGAAGGGAGCCGTTCTAACTCTCAGCAGCTCTCAGCCGAACGCTGCCCGTCCTTGGAGATGCGGGCAGCGAAAAGTTTTTTCTCGCCTCGACCACCAGGGAGCGGCAGAGAAAAAAGCCGCCAAAGCCTGGAGGATCCTCAACCCTGGAACCCTGTGCGTCCAAGGTCCAAGCAATCCTCCGGTCGGATCTCTGTCAGCAGATTGGTCACCTCATTGCCTTCGAACAAACCACTTCGACTTTTCGTGTGGCTGTGGAGTTGTGGTTCTTTAAGGCTTTAGTTTGGCTGTCGAGTTTTGGGTTCAGGTTCTCGGCGCTTGATGTGAGGGTGTGGGACTTTAGGTGGGGTCGTCGACAGCCCTGTTGTTCCATGCAAAGCATTCCAAATTCAAGCAGTCGATTACACGGAGCCATGGGGCCATGCCGCTTCGCCAGCTCGAGATCTGTCTTGCGGATGTCCCGCGGTTTCGCGTCGAGCCACTTGATGCCTGCGGTACCGAAAGTTGCTTCAATTTGATCGTGATGGGCTTCCCGGATGGCTCTGTACGCAGGAATTCTCGGGAAACCGGGCACGATCTGAAAGGTATTCACAAGCTCGACTGTTACATTCGTGGAATCCGGCCTGGAAAATACCGACACTTTACAAGTTCTTGACAAAGACTTGGCTGCAGCGTCTGTGACGCTGCCCTCAGCATCGCTTCCCGCGGGCAGCCGTGCGATGGGTGATAAGAAAGACTGGTGTTCAGTTCATTATAAGACTGTGGGTAGCTGCAGCGTCTGTGGTAAACCAGGACACGCTGAAGACGATGCGGCCAGGAACAGTGAGAATAACGGCAATAACAACCTCCATGAGTCGTGAAAAGGCAAACGGTAATCGCAATGACGGAGTACGTATGTGTTGTCCAACGGCTAGTACTGATGGGGATGCTGAAATTTCAAAAGCGATAAACGAAGCTCAAAAACATGCCGCCAATGACGTCTTACAAAAATTGCGTGCGGTCATCATTGGTTGTGACGCTTCCATTGACCCCCTTCGCAACATCACTTGTGGAGACGAGGATCGTTATGAGCAGTCAGTTGTTAATCCATCGTTCCAATGGTGCTTGCCCTCTTGTGTTCGCATCATTCGTGGAATTGCTGCTGCTTTACTGTTTGTGCTTTTCGTGCAACTGGTACAGCTATGCTTGCAACTGGTATCCATCTATCGATATATCATGATTTATCTATCTACTGCCTATCTGTCTCTGTCTATCTGTCTACCCGTCGACACGTGTCGAGCCGATTCTTGTTCCATGGACCGCCATCCTATTCTCAACACGGTTTGGCATGACAAAGCCGCTATGATGGTGACACCAAGTCGTGGTCATCATGTTTGTGGGGTTTTCATGTGCAGTTCACGGTATGGTTCGTTCACATGATGGCTGCCACTGCTGTCATGTTCGACCTGGCTAGCAATATCGGAATATCTCCGCCACAACCAGAATGTCACTGCGACTCTCATCGCGATCATGTTCTCATCCATACCATGGTACTACCATCGTATCAATCATCAGCAACATCGGCCGAAGCGCGTTTCAGGTCCGCCGATTCGTGTCCGCGGGGTTGCGTTTCAGGTCTGCCGTTCGGAACCGCCCGGACGCGTTTCAGGCTTTTTCAGGGAGCGTGTCGGACATGCCCGGGTGCGCTTCAGGTCCGGCTGCGGCATGGATGCTCTGGTAATCGGATTGGGTCGGAATGGGCGTTATTACAATTCGGGCATGGATGCTCTGGTAATCGGCCCTAATCCCAAAACCCAACCCTCAAGGCCCAAACCCTAAACCCTGGGATCGCTAATGCCCGAAAACCCTCAACCCCGCACCCCCAAAACCATAAACCCCAAAACCCTAAACCCTAGCCTCAAGCCCAAACCCTTTAACATAAGCCAGAAACCCCAAACCTTTAAAGCCCTGATCCAACGGATGATAGCAAACATGTTTACGCACTTCTTGTGCCTGATTTAAGTCAATCCCTATTGTTTTGCTGTCAATCGCTTTCATGTGCTTGTTGTCTGGGAGTGCGGGCTGTTGATAAGCAAGTTCACGTACCTGTTGCTTCCAAGTTATGGCAGACGATGTTGACACCGCCTAGACAGCGTAGACTCGGTGCAACAAGTGCTTTCGTGTCTGTTGTCTGGGCGACTATTTTTGATAAGTGTGTAAGAACTATATCCTTCAACAGGAATCGGTAGAGCAGCAATGGCCGCACCAGGCCATAAACCCTAATCCCACAAAAAAAACCAAACCTCAACCCCTAGATCCTACACTCTGAACCGCCCCTGAAACCTAAACCCCATGCCTATGCGTACCCACACCCTTGAGATCGCCACCGCCCAATATCCCTAAACCCTGAGCCCCAAGCCTAAGAACCCTAAACCCGAAGCCCCAAACCTTAAACCCAAAACCAAACGCCTATAGCTAATTCAGCCCTAAACCCTAAAAAACTATTCATGAGGCTGCGCTTCTCGCCTCAACCTCTGACGTGTTGCAAAAAGGAGAAAAGCAAGGCTCTTTGTTGGAAGCGAAGGAACTGCCGGTAGGTTAGAAATTGCTGCATTGACTTCCATTCAAGGCCTGCTGCTTAGCAGCGCGCCCCTGTCACTGCAACGAACCCCGAAAAAGGGCTTGGGAGGGTGGGCCGCACGAAGGCGACCTAAAACATTCAAGACTGGAGCCCGTGCATCCGAACGGCGGACGTGTTCACAGTTGATGCTGTGGCTCATCAGCTACAGTTTGTGCTGAAGAGGCCCGGCACTTACACTGACCAGCTCGCTGCATGAATACCCCTTCATTCATGAGGCTGCGCTTCTCGCCTCAACCTCTGACGTGTTGCAGAAAGGAGAAAAGCAAGGCTCTTTGTTGGAAGCGAAGGAACTGCCGGTAGGTTAGAAATTGCTGCATTGACTTCCATTCAAGGCCTGCTGCTTAGCAGCGCGCCCCTGTCACTGCAACGAACCCACCTACCGGCACTGGCCACTTCAGCGGCCGAAAAAACACAAACGAATTTGCGCCAGCAGAGCGGAAAGTCATGCCAAGAATGTTGCCAAGGGCGCACAAGGAGCCAGACGACCGCATAGTATGCCAGCTTTGATGTACTGCAAGGGGAGCAGACTCGCAGCAACCCGTGCAGGAAGAGTCAGCACCATGCTTCTGCCTGCAGCATGTCGGACCCAGGGTCTTCGGAAGGACCCCTGATCCGCAGTATGCCCGGAAACTTCCTGTCGAGTGTCAGCAGTTCCAGAACTGTACAAACTTATAACCAAATTCCCACCAAACAGCCCGCAATGACGCACGTGACAAGTTGCACATCATGCTCCGAGGAACAGGGCTTGTCAAGGCGACATTTGGGCTTCACTGTGCACTGCCAATGGAAGCCGGGTGTCAGCATGTCTTTTTAGCAGATCGTTTCCGACTCCTTCCGCGAGATGGGGCATCCGACGGGTTCTCCTGAGAGGGGACCAGAATCAGATGCAGTTGCAGATCACCAGCCAAGGTTAAGGCGGCCATCCTACGAAGCAATCTGTTAAGTTGCGAGGAGGATCTTCCTTTCGCTGCTGCTCCCAACCAGACGGCTGAATCGACGAGAATCACGACTCGGTGAGAGTGGCGACTGCGAGATCTCAACAACCAACGCAAGAACAGAATGAAAGCTTCTCCTTCAAGCACGTTGATGTGAGCAGGATGCTTTCGCTTCACGCTGAAAACGTCACAAAAGTCGTTCAAGCTTACTTCGAGACGATGTGCTTCACCTGATCGGCAACGCTGTTCTGACGGGCAATAGTCACCGTCCATCAGAATGTATGCACCTTGCTTCTCTGCCCAGCGAGCCACTTGACGCACAGACTGTTCTGATGCCTTCAAAATGGAAGCGCCGAACCCATACTCAACACTGGCATCGGTTGCGCCCAGCATCTGTAAGAATGGTCTCCTGAGATCACAGCGCCAAAAAATGCCGAGGACGATGCTGCAAGCCAGCTCCCCGAGGACAGCAGCTGGGAGCTTCATGAGAGCATTTACATTCGGCAAGCACGTGAAACTGTAAATGTCGCTGTAAACGGATAGCTTCGGGCGAACCAGCAAATCAAACCATTGCAGCACACCCAAGAGTTGTTGGACATGTTTGGGAGAGGCCTCCTTTTTGCAGTGCAGGAACAGAAACGTCACGATCAGCGCCAGGTATCTTGCCGCGGGGATGTCGAGGAAGAAACCGTCGACCAGGTCCACACCGACACATGTGGCGCACAGTGCATCGTTTACATCCTTTTTGGCATTGCGCACAGCACCGCGCGAAGTGAAAGCATCATCCAGGCGAGCAGCGGCCTGCGACGTCACCCCTGCACCGGCCACGCTGAAAATCATCACGTCATCAGTCGCAGCAGCTGCCGTCAGATCGAAGGATGAAGGGGTCGGGCAATCACATGCCAGAAAGCTGTCTTGTTCAAAGCCGGCGTGTTTGCAAAGATCCAAAATCTCTTCCTGGGCAATGTATGACGACCATGAGAAACCCATAGGCCACACACAATGCACAGGATAAAGTCTGCCTTTCTGCCAGCATTGGCCATCCTGCAACAGGCTTTGCTGCTCCGAAACGGACATTCCAGCCGCTTCAAGCTCGTCAGTTGAGACTGGGGGCTTTGCCATGAACTCCCGCAGCTGCTCAGGCAACCGCAGTTGGTCAAACCAGCAGGAGGCATCACGTTTGCTCACTCGAACAGGCCGGTCAGGAGATGTCTCAAGGAAGGCGAGCGCAGTCGGAGATGCTAAAAGCCTCGGTTTAGGCGGGGTGACGGCGGCTTGCGAAACGCGTTGGCCATGCCACACCTCCCTCAGACGATCGCCACCCGGCTTGCCCACTGCCATGGAAGTGCCTCCGCCTTTGCAACTAGAAGAAAGGCCCAACTTGCCAGATCTCAACTGCTTTATGATCAGCTTCACGTATTCCTCTCTCCGGCCAGCCGAAAAAGCGTCGAAGATCTCAAGCGCGACGGGAGCTTTTGCGAACATCCTGGCAGAGTCGCTGATGATTGCCTGCATATCCAGCGGCAGGTGTGAAGTCGGATCACAACAACCAGCCCGGTGCAAGTTATCCACTTTGTCTGCTTCCAAGTCCCGAAAGCGCGGCTCCGAAGGGTTTGCAGACAACACATAATCAGGTAGAAACTTTTGCCAAGAACCTTCGTCGACTGTCTGTAAGCGGTCCAGCATCGATTTTGCTTTAGCCACCAAAGATGTCACAACCACTGTCTGCGAAGCTGTGTGTCTGCTAGGATAAGCCGTCGACGGCTTGACCCCGTACATCCAGTTCAAACAAGCAATGACCAAGTTAACAAAGCTTCGGAACACCGACCACCGCAAAGTCGACATGTCTACAGGCTTGAAGTCCATTCCGTGGATGTCTCCCAAGGGAAACAGATCCCGCTGCCTGCCGGTCTTGCATGTTGACTTTGCACCTGAAAGGAATCTTCCCAACTCCCCGGTGTTGCTCTTTGCAGCGACACGCAAGCGTTCTAGCAGCCACACTTTGTCCGAAGGCACAGCAACATGCCGCTCTGCACGCCATGCCAACCAAGCAACCCGTCTCCGTCGAGATGAGCTTTTGCTAGACGGTGAACGAAGAGCCGGCATCGGCACCGAAAACTACTTAGCAAGTGTGTCGCGAGTTGGCAATTGCCCCCACCCAAGCCGGAACACGACATGGCGCCGCACGAAGGCGACCTAAAACATTCAAGACTGGAGCCCGTGCATCCGAACGGCGGACGTGTTCACAGTTGATGCTGTGGCTCATCAGCTACAGTTTGTGCTGAAGACGGCCCGGCACTTACACTGACCAGCTCGCTGCATGAATACCCCTTCATCCCTACAGCCTAGCTCTAAAACCCTCAGCCCTATAATCCCAACAATCCCAACCCTAAACCTTCAATCCCCAACCCTAAACCCTGAGATCGCTGTTTTCGATATTGCCGGGGCCCCGTTGAAAGTTACGGGCCCCGTAGGATGCCCAGAAGACTTCAGAACTAAACCCCAAATGGCCCGAACTCAGGTGGTCTTGGGGTGGGCTGCCTGCTACGCACAAGTGCGACCGGCCTGGGTGCGCACGCCACCGAACCCTCATGACGTCACCACAACCGTTCTACCCTCACTCAGCCCCAATCCTGACCCTAAACCCTCAACCCCAAACCCTAAACCTTTGAGATCGCTGATGCCCAAAACCCTCAACCCTGAACCCCACAATCCTGAGCCAAAAACACTAAACCCTGAGCGCCAAACCTGAACTCCAAAACCAAAGCCCCAAACCTTAAACTCAAAACCTAAGGCCAATCCAACCCTAAACCCTAAAAAACTAACCCTACAGAATGAGCCCTAAAACCCTCAGCCCTAATCCCAACAATCCCAACCCTAAACCCTCAACCCCAAACCCTAAACCCTGACATCGCTATTGTCCATCTTGCCCGGGCCCCGGTGAAAGTTATGGGCCCCGTAGGATGCCCAGAAGACTTTAGAACAAAACCCCAAATTGCTTCAACCCAGGGAGGTCTTGCGGTGGGCTGCCTTCTGCGCACAAGTGCGACCGGCCTGGGTGTGCGCACACCAGCGAGCACTCATGACGCCACCACAGCCTAGACCTAGACCCTAAACCCTCAGCCGACCCTAAACCCTCAACCCCAAACCCTAAACCTTTGAGATCGCTGATGCCCAAAACCCTCAACCCTGAATCCCCACAACCCTAAATCCTGCCAAAAACACAAAACCCTGAGTGCCAAACCTGAACTCCAAAACCAAAACCCCAAACCTTTAAACCCAAAACCCCAAACCCCAAAGCCCAGCTCAACCCTAAACACTAAAACGCTAACTCTAAACTAAAGCCTGAACCCCAAACGCTCACGTCAACCACAAAGCCTTAATCCCCAGAAGCCCTCAACCCTAAACTTCCCCAAAACCCAAAACCCTGAGCCCCAAACCGAAACCCTAAACCCCAAGCCCAAAAGCCTAAACCCTAAACCCTAACGCCCTGATCCAGCGCTAAACCCTAAGATCGCTAATGCCCAAAAAACCCTCCACCGCAAACCCTGATCCCGCAAAAAACAAAACCCAAAGGCTCAACCCCAAACCCCAAAAGCCCTAAACCCCAAACCTTTAACCCGCAACCTCAAGCTAAACTTCACCGATACGTCTGACATGCACCAGACTTGCGGCAGAATTTGTCTTTGCATCGCGCTGACTTTGTACTCGCCCCTAGCCTGAATTCCGGGCCTGGAATCGGACCTGACATGTACCCTACCGCATCTGAAACATACAGCTCTCCAACAGCGTCACTACCTACTCTGTCACGACACCTCAGCATCACTATGGCCAGCCGCCAGTTGACCATAGCTACCTAGAGTTTCGCTTCGCTCTACAACATAACCCTGAAAGCACCAGCAGCAGCAGCAGCAGTTGTACTAGACGTCGTGCCATACAGACGCAGATAAACATCGTGTCACAGGTAGTCATAGTTGCGAACGTGCTGCTGTACTGGCCGGTCCAACGGCCCGTCTCGTCGCGGATGTAGGGATCCTGCAACGGAAAGAAACAGCGTCAGCTGCGAGGCACTGCTAATCCAAGCCATCAACAGGCCTCTTGCAATGCTGGCAAGAAACGATGCCTGTGTGTGCATGTGTGTTGACATGCTTCCTTCATATCGTGCACATCAAGCTTACTTTTGGGACTGGTTCCCACGGACCATATGTATATGTGCACATGAACGAAAACCACAAGATTGATCATGCCAATTACACGCAAAGCTGGACAGAGACAGAGGACCTTGTGTGAGTACATGTCTCCACCGGCAGGTCACCAAAGCGAGAAAAGCAACAAAACAAACTCCGGAGTCACCGGTCCTCCTCCGCGTCCCTGGTCACCACCGCTGGGTACCAAAAGCCTGGGCTCTGACGTGGAGATGCCCTAGCTGCCCCAAGGGGCCTTGTGACTTCCGGCATTTCCATAGCCGAGCAGCCATTCTCCGAATCCCTGGCCATGACCTGCACACATCACTTTCCCGAGAGAGAGAGAGAGAGAGAGAGAGAGAGAGAGAGAGAGAGAGAGAAAATGCTGGGGGAAAGCTCCAACTCGGACCATCCCCACCTGATCGCCATGATTCTTCGTAGGAGTGGAGCTCAACTTCTGAAGCCTGGGATGCGAGTGCCCCGTTGCGACAGCTGCATCCGACAATCCGGCGGTACGAAAGACATGTAACTGGTTGAGGTAGTAGGTTTGTTCATGACCAGCATGGCCACGCACCTCGGAGGGCGAGCAAAGGGCACGCGGCGGCACTTGGAAGCGTGGAGCGAAGTGGACAATGCTTTGCGGCTGGAGTCACGTCGACCTTAAAGTCGCCCTGGTACGTCGGATACTCGACCTTTAGGAGGTTGGGCAAGGGCAGTGCCACGGCACTGTCTAAATGATGTCTAAACGCGAACGTTGCTGCGTTTCGTTGCCTGCACCACGGCACCGAAAGGCCGGACTTGCGCGTAGTCCTCATTGCTCAACGTTCTCTCCGAGGGCGAAGATAGCGGGTGCACTTCATGGCTGATCTCTAGGGCCTTGGGGAACATCCGGTACCGCGGGCGCAGCATGAAGCTCGACACCTGTGCAACCCCGACCCGACTCAGCTGACGTGGCCCTGCGCATGCGGCGTGCTGCACCTCTTCAGTTTCGTTCGTCTGGCCGTCCTGCACATGCGGCGCACGGACGGGGAAGTCTGAAAGGGAGGATTTCTCAACGAAGTTGTCAGGTTCAGAAAGGCCCGCTTCGGCGTACGGCTGTTTCTGTCCTGCACGAGGAAGACCGGGCAGTTCACGTGCTCTGCGTCGGACACTTCCCCCACGACGCGACCAGGCTTCCAGGAGCCCCTCCTGAGCACAGGAGAGAGAGGGACCAAACTCAAACGAAGCGTGGTAGAAGACGATGCTGAAAGAAACGGCGCTGCGGCGTGTAGCGAGGGCAGAGAAACGGTAGGGGCCCGCACTCGCTGCTGAAGGCTATCACAGGATCCCCCATGTGGTACATCTGAAGAAGCCGCAGGTCCTCAGAGCATGCGAACTATGTCTATGCCATGCATGCAGTGAGAGCGCAGAGAGAGGGCAGACGGCTGCTCTGCATGCTGACGGCGGACGGACTCTCTCTAGTGCTCACTGCTCACTGCCACTCAGAGAAGACTTTTACTCTTGGGCACCGACATAAACCATCCTGGCACTCCCAGCCGTGCAGGCTTGGCAACACAAGTGCACTTAGCTCTTACCCGAGGGCTACGAGGCTCTGCTTTGACTTTGTAGTCCAAGTCTCAAAGCCCCTGTATCCGTGTGAACCATGCCCCCTCCCTTCACGGTCAACTCAGCAAGCATCGTCGCCTGGATGCTACGCTTTCAGACCTTCCAAAACGAACGCGCTTGCGCTAGTTGCACCAGTCTGCTTGCACACAGCAGCTGGCTAGTTGAGGCCCCCGCGAATTCCAGTCGGCGAGAGAGCGGAGGAGCTGCCCTCAGACGTACCCCGACTGATGCCCGCAAGCACCCGGCATTGAGCAAACCAGCGCACACACGAAACATGTTTGCGGACTCGTCACGTATTGGTGCTCTTGCCCTCCCGACACAGACACTGCACAGCTGTCAGATGGTCGGCGTGCCTCGGCGCCTTTTCGGGAGCAGCATGTAAGTATCGCCTCAGCAAAACTACGGATCAGAAGCAAGATGCGCAGGTTACGAGTTACGCTCTGATCCTACACTCTACACACCCGAAACTGGAAACTAGCCGCTATGCACAAAAGGAAGCCCAGAGGACTCTCTGCACTTCAAGAGCACAGCACAGAAGACTGCCTAAGACCATGAAATCTACTGCGGAAGCGATCACTACAATCACTACAGCTTGGATCCTCCTTCTCAGGCGTACATGACCACCACCACAAAGTGCGTGAGGTCGCACTTCTAGGTGAGGCTGTTGGCTTCACCACGAGTAAACACTGTTTGTTGGGTTGGTAAATTGCAGACGCTATGCTCACTCTCGCAGTTACTCTCACGCACTGATCCCTGGATCGTTTTGCTCCAGCGCTGCACTGTTCAGGCGAATAGTTGGTGCAGGGCGGTGGCTGAGTTGGCCTAGAGTAAAGCGTAAGGATCCTCATTTCTTGGCAGCCACGGCGAAAGTATAGGTGCTGACCGGGACGGCGGGATGCTTCCAGAGTTTGCCATCGTGACTGCCGACTCGCATGACGGCGCCACCGACAAGGTTGACAACGAGGAAGCCCGCTGGAGCGCCAGCATCCTGAACGGAGAAGGAGTCGATTTTGTCGAAGATGTCATCGACGATCTCGCTCGTGTTCTTCATGTGCTTGAGCACCGGGATCTCTCTCTTCTTCTCCTCCAGGTCTTGATAGTCCTCTTCAGCCGCGCAAGAGGAGAGCTCGTACTGCTTGATGTCGTCCGCCTTGAGCTTCGTGTAAGTCGTGGACTCCCTGTGGCACAGGCCACAGAGTATCGCTGGGATCGCACGAAGTACTGGGGATGCCACATGCCGGCTTTCACATAGCATGCATAGTGCACGAACATGATGCCGTTAGGCATGTCGCTCCTCCCCTTCTCCGTGCCTGATCCACCCGACTTACGCCTCTCTGAAATATAAAGACTCAACTCGCCTCCGCAAAGATCTGCGGTGCTGTGCTCAAGGTTCTTGGCGACGTCACGGAATGCAGCAGCGTGGAACGGCACGACAAAAACCGCTCCGAGCACATGAAATGAACTCATCCGAAAACGCATGGCTTCGCAGGCTGGAAATTCTGATGCTGCTTGGGGTTGTACTGGCTGCTGGCACGAAGTTGACCGCCTTCAAAACCCATTCTGTCAAGGACTCGACAGCGCCCCATTAAACCTCTTAAACTCGACTATAGACACTTCTCTGCGACTCCTCTAGCGACTTTCCAACAGCAATTTGAGATCCCCTCGCTCTCGCTGTGCGCGGTCCCTCGGGAGTGAGCGGGGACCATCATGGCAGTATTGAACACCTCGTCTCACGAGATGAGTTCGCGGGTCAAGAGAGCTTTACACTAGGTTTCGGCGCCTTTTCATCCGTCCTGTCTCGAGCTTCGTTGGAAGCGGTGCGAAATTTGCAAAGTGGTCGCTTATGTTGGAGACAATCAAGGATGGAATGAAGATGCCAACAAAATAGAAGTGTAATCTCTCTGCAGACCCTGCAGCTGCACATCGCCGCCTGCCCACGTACAAGCATAGTTAGGGGTTTCGGGCTACCTCTGCCGCCGCCACCCTCCCAGATCTGCGCCCGGGTCCAAAACAACTCCTTCAGCAGCGCATGCTTCTATCATCCTCGAATCCTCGAATCTTTTGTTCTCTCTATCTCTTTCGGGTGTCCGGGCCGTCTCGCTGCGAGACCTTCCCCAGGTGCCATTCTCGGTCGCCCGTGCGGTACAGAACCTGATGTCGCTCGAGTCTTTGGCCCATCTCGCCTGGAGCGGTTCAGAACTGCGGAGCCTTCTCCTGCACAGCGAAGCTGTCGTAAAGGGAGAGGTTCTGATAATCCTCAGATGAGCACCGTCGCAAGCCATGCAGCACGGTTGAAGGTGAGCCGAGAGCCAACCCGTTTCACTGGCAAGACGTCCCAGCCCTGAACGCGGCAAACCTGCTCGCTGAGCTGGGCCGCGACCAGCAGGGTGTTCTGCACCTCCGGCACTGGAACCTGATCCGACCTCGAGCAGCCGAGCAGAGCAGCTGCCGCGCATCTGCGGGAGGAGGAGCGAAGCGAAGCGCCGCGGCGGCTGCCGGGGGCCGGGGGCCCGGCCCGCCGGGCCCGGCGAAGCGCAGCCGAGAGACCCTGTGAGCAGGGAGAGGGCCGCGGGAGGGCGGGAGGTTCGCGACGCTTCGACGCTCCCTTCGCACTTCCGCACTTCCGCCTGCAACGCGTCTTCTCGCAGCTTTGGATTTGCCCCACCGCTGCGCCGCCGGACGCTGAGGCTGTGGAGAGGGCTGTGTCGTTGAAGCGGACGAGGTCTCCTCTGCAGTTTGGCCAACTGTGAGCCGACTCCGACCCTCCTCCCGTGGGAGAGCACACACATCGTGCAAACTGCAGGTGCGAAACTTCACGCCTAGGCCTACTCGTTCTGCGCCTGGGCCGTACCGGTACTCAAACTCGAAGTTGAGGCACTTGGACCAGTCCTGAAAGACCACCGAGAGTGGGGAGAAGGGAGAAGGGAGGGAGCCAGGGAGCCTCCCCCCCAAATTTTCCCGAGTCGGAGACGGGCGTCTGGGAGTGCGTCACTCGCTTCCTGCAGCACGAGCTCTGGCTCTGCTCTGAGACTCTGCTTGCGCCGAGCCGGCGCCAGGAGGCACCTCCAGTGACGGTGGTTTTGGACCAGGGGGGGCATCTTCTTCACGATCTTCCCAAAGTCCGGGGCCAAGGGGACCTCCCGCCGCGAAGCGGAGCATCTCCTAACTGCCCAGCTGCCCTTGCTTTGGCCGGGCGACGGAGTTCCGTCGCTTGTCGGGCGCCGCGGGCGCCCTCAGCGCCAACATCAGATCGTCCTGACTCGAGCAGCGACGAAGGGGTATTTTCATGGGAGTCTCGCAGAACGCAACGGCTCGGAGCGCTGAGCCCCAGTCGCTCGAGCCGGCCTCAAGAGCAAACCGCACTGCAGCTCTGCAAATGCATTCCCAGATATGGCAATATGCCAAAAGAGCGAGTGCGAGAGAGAGAGAGAGAGAGACGAGCGGAGCAGGGCGGAGCGGAGTCCCTCGTGGCCTTCGGCGCCATCGGACCGGGCTCTATCTGTCACAGGCCACAGCATGGGGACCGGGTCAGAGCTGAGCTCCGAGGCTCTGAGAGATCGCTTCACATCGCTTCACAACAGCACAAAAACACTCGGGTTGTTGGACGGCACAGCGGCAAGTACGGGGCCTCCCGAACGTCCTGAGAGACGGCTGAGGAGGAACAACTCAGGTAGGGACTAGGGGAGAACTGCAGGCACTCCTCGTGCACCACCAAAGGTGCAGGTCGAGCCTGCTCCAGAAGGTCCTCTACCACCAAAGGCGTTGGTCGACCACGCTCCTGAGGAAGCTTCCCCTCCCTATGGGGGCCCCATGACAGTCCTTTCTGTTTGATTGAAAAGTTCCTAAGCAAAAAGCAAGGACGACGGATGCACTCGCCTTTGTTGGATGGCGACAATCTTGGAAACTTGGAACAGGCTGGCTTCGTCTGGACCGCAGAAGAAAAGTTCGCTGACCTAGTTCGCCCGCTACCGCTACCGCCACGGTCTCCTGCAGCGTTGTACGCCTGCTCCCATTCGCCTGAAGTACAGGGAGGGTGGCAGCGGCGGGATCGCGGAATCTACAGGGCTTCGGCTAAAACAGCATTTTGTTGAAAAAAGGCTTGAGGAGCGCGTACGCACACACACACACAGTCAGTGTAGCAGCTCCAAAAACAGAAGAAGGCGAGGCCCCCTTGCCCTTCCAGCGCGGCACAGCGGACTGCAACGGCAAGTGCCTGGGGCGCCGCAACGTGCAGATTCACAGCCTCGGCCTGTGCAGCACATCCCGCGTTGCGAGGCCAAGTCCCTTATCTGCGAACCTCCCGCGTCCCGTGCCCTCCCTTCTCTCCCCTCCCATCTCTCCCCCATCACTCTCCCATCACTCTTCCTCTCTCCTCTCTCCTCTCTCCTCTCCTCTCCTCATCTCCTCTCCTTTCTCCTTTCTCTCTTCTTCGTCGCCTTCTCGGTGAGGTTCAGGTTGGGTAGACGGGGCCCTTGCCCGAAGGCGCCGAAGGCGCCATGGCCGCGGGTGCCGCCCTGGGCCGCGCCCTGGCGCGAGGGGTGCGCGGCTTCGGCGCTCTCTCCTCCGGCCGCGTCTCCCGCCTCTCCCGCCTCCGCCTCCGGCTCCTTCGGCTCTTCCGGCGGCTCCTTCGCGGCGTTCAGCGCCTCATCGGGATCCTGCCGCCGGTGGAGATGCGCGCACGCTGCAAGCTGCAAGCTGCTGCCCCCAGCATCCCACCCATCCCACCCATCCCGCTTCCCCCCCCCCCTTGCAGGGTTCGGTCCGAGTTCACGGGTCGCAGGGAGAACCCGACAGCTACGAAGGCGAAGAGAACCACGAAGATGCGCCGCCAAGACCTCGAACGATCTTCCACTCATCCTTTCCATTCCTTTCCCAAGTTCTGAACTGAGATCCAAGCCCTGGTGTATGCATGCCTAAATTCACCAGACATGGTGGAGCTGCCGTGAGCCAAACACCAGACAGGCACAAGAGCTCCGAAGGGGTGCGCTCACCTTGAGCGAAGCTCGCAAGAAGCGACAGATCAAGGGCCCGCGACAATCGCAGTTTCGCGACATTCTACTCTCCGTCGCTGATGATGTCGTTTTACCAGCAGGATTATTCTCTGATCTCTGTGCACACGTTCCAAAACCAGTGAATCAAGACCCCATCCTGGCATTTAGTGGGTGACTTCGTTGTCAGGCCGAGGATCACGACGACGCTCGCGATTCTCAGAAGATTTCCATCCACACCCAGAATGAGAAGCCCTCCGTTTTGTGGCCGGAATCTGCCCGAGTCTCTTCAGAAAGAAGCTGCGTTTGACAGCATCCCTCTTAAAGCAATTCTGGGAGGCGGCCAAACTAGATCCACCCCTTTCGCCGAATGCACGTGCTACTTGACACAGATCATAGGCGCCCAGGGCCAAAAGGGGTGGCTACAGTGGCTACGACAGGTCGAATTCTCCGGACTTTAGGCCGTCTCGGGCATGTGCTTGGACACAGGCCACGGTGCAGAAGGTGAGACTTGCAGACGCTTTTCAGCTCAAGACACGACGGGCCCAGCTGGGCAAAAGGGGCAGTCGGAACTCGGGGCGGCGCTCTTGGCTCAGGGCTTTCGGAAGTTCACGCCAGCGAAGCCTCGAAAGCTCGGGGTTTTAGGGCAGCCAAGCGCCGCCAAGACGCAAGGAGGCAGAGGCTGCGCTCTGCTCTCTGCGCTCTGCTCGCTGCTCGCTGCTCTGCACTCTTCCCTTTTCTGCTCTGCTCTGCTCTGCTCTGCTGCTCTGCAGTGGCCAAGGGGCTGCACAAAGGGCCAAGCTCCTCCTCGATTCGAATCCTCGGCTTACCCCTCATGCCATAGCAGACAAGAACACAGCGAAAAGCAGGCCCTCCCTCTACCGGGTCTCTGTGTGACCTCTGCCGCGGACGACCTCCAAGCCGAGCGTCAGCTGGTTGTACTTGGCGAGGCGTTCCGAGCGGCAAGGCGCCCCCGTCTTGATCTGCCCAGTGCCTAACGGGTTGCTTGTCGCAACGAGGGCTCCGCAAACGAGGTGAAATGCTGCTCAGATACGCAAGCCCACCACCAAGTCGGCGATGAAGGAGTCCTGCGGCAGAGGTTTGCGAAACGGAGCAAAGGACCGGCGGTCGGGTGCGCGATGGCTCCTCCGTTTCGCCCGAGCGGTGGGAGACCTCGGCGCACGCGCTGTTCGGCCCCGTCTCTCGCTCTCTCAGCCGCCTCAGCCGCCTCAGCCGCTCAGCTTCTTTGGGGCCATGGCCATGACGCCCCAGCCGGCGTCCATGGACATGTTGGCCGCCTCGATGGCCTCCGTGATGGACCCGATCCTCGTTAGCGACGCCGTGGGGGCACCACTGCCCTCAGCCCTCCTCTCCTCTCCTTCTCTGCCGTTTCGCCGAGTGGCTGGTTCACCTTCAGCAGGAGCGCGTTGCAGGCGCCCACCTCCAGGGCCTTCTTCACACGCGTCGGGTTCGTGACCAACCTTTGCAGAGACGGCGTCGCGGCGGGGCCCAGGGGGTGCGTCGAAACCCTTTTTGAGTCCGGGGCAGGTCGTCTCCGACGATCTGTGTATCCTTGCCGACATCTGCCATGAAGGCCTTGTAGGCATCCCAATCGTCTTGATCGAAGGGGTCCTCTCTGAGCAACGGCGGCAGGCGGCAGAGAAGGCTACAGACCCCTAAAAAAAAGGCGCGGCTGCCTCGATGGAGACGAAGGGGTACTTGGAAAGCCAGGACTTGTAGTACTCGATCAGCTGCGGCACGGACTTCTTCATCTCAGCGGCACCGCCGGCCTCGTTCTTGAAGTCCAAGTCGTAGATCTGCGCACTTTCAGATTCTTAGTCTTCGGCTCAGCCGCTTGGGCCGCTGGCCGCTGGCCTTCTCATCGGATTTGTAGAACTCCGAGGCTGCCACGTCGGTGCCAATCTTCACCTTGCCTCACGGCTTCAGGCCCAGCCACGGCCACGCTATGCCACGCTGTCACGCTGTGCTGTGGCCTTCGTGGCCAGACTTCTTGATGGCCTCCATCAGCACATCCAGCGCCTGCCGAGCTCGTCGCCCCGCCCGCTGCTCGGCAGATCCCGATCCCATCCTCTCCCTCTCCGGGCCTCGTTGTTGTCTTGCACGTTGGGGGCAAAGCCGCCTGAAGAGGCGCGAGCCGCATGCTGCATTTCGACTGAAGGAAGAGCTGAAAAGAGCGGAAAGACGGCGGAGGCCGCGAGCCTTCATCGCCCACGTTGCACGCGTCCTTAGAGCTTCGGCGAGGCTCGGCCGAGGTGGTAGCGCCTGGGCTCTTGCCGGCCTGGCCGTACTTCTTCTTGATCACGGCCTTCAGGTTATGGTACACCTCCTCGGGCAAGGGAACGAATTTGGCTTCCATGAATCCGCCCTCCCCAGTCGTCTCTGCCGAGCATCTGCGCCGATAATCATCGCCTCCTTGAAGGAAGCGGCACCCACGGGCAGGATCATGAACTCCTCTTCTTCGAGACTTGCAACTACGATATACCGATACAAGTGGCACTTACCAACAAGACCAAAGCATTCTTCTTCCATGCAGAGGATGAGAGAGAGACAGAGAGAGAGAGAGAGAGGAGAAGGTGAGAAAACAAAGCAGAGAGAGAGAGAGAGAGGGAGAGACAGACAGCAGACAGACAAAGGAGTGTAACACCAAGTTCGAGGTGCATGTTCTGGCATTGCCATGTAGACATGCCATGTTGCAGCCCTGCCAGTCACGGTTTCCAACACCACATGAATGCAGCCACAGCATTGTCCGTGCACAGCTTGCCTGGCAAGCCAAGCGGTTTCCAGCGTGGCTTCCTCCGTTGATCACGTTGAAGGAAGGGACCGGCATGACGAACCTGGGCGGAAAAGGATCACAAGCGTTGTCAACGATCATCCCAACATCTCGAAATTCCCGGCACTGCTCTCGTCGTGATTCCTGGCTCTTTTTACCCGCATGCACTGTTTTCTACGCTGAAGTGATCAAAAGCAGATGCCTTGAAACACTTGAGGTACCGTCAGAGAGCATCCCTCGAGGGTGGCAACCGCCGCGCCCCGCGCGGCCCGGTCCAGCTGGCGGTTGCGGGAGGACTGCTTAGACGGACAAAAGCAAACAAACCACAAATATATTCACGAATCTGCGGCTAAACTACCCACCCGTCCCGTGTGGCCTCGAAGCGGAAGGCATGCACCAAATTCAATAGTCGCAGGGTAAATTGCCAATTTCCTGCCTTCCTGACATGAGCACTTGAATCAAGGCACCGCCCGACCCTCACGTACCCCAAAACGCATGACTCTCCCGACCTATGCACCTTGTGCTAGCATACCGCTACCTGCGCTACCTCGCTACCTTGCTAACTTACGAGCCTGAGGTGCAGACTGACGCATGAACTGTGCGGCCAGAGGCTCTGACATGCCATGAGCGCTGTGCTGCAGAACACATCCGTTGCTGGCAGACTCCTGGCCTCAAACTCAAAAAGCAAGAGCATGGCTTGCGAGATCTGGCTGGCATTGGCACAAGCAGACGCAGCTGCGGCAAAGCTGATGGCGTTGGCCTTCGGCGCCCGCGGCACTGATTGGAGCTCACGAAGAAACCCCAATGCTGCCCTCCAATCTTGGCCCTTCTCGCAGGAGCTGATGGCTGCGTTGTACGTGACCAAAGACACCTCAACCATCTTCGTCCAAAGCTCCTGAAAAAGATCCAAGGATATCTTCCAGACAGAGGACTTCTCGCCCACGCTCATTGCGGCAGTGTAGCTTCGCAACTTCTCGTTCGACCGCCGCTGCGGAGATTCCTGCAACAGCGCCAAAGCCAGCTGCCACGAACCCTCGCATGGTGCTGAGAGCTTCACTGGCAGCGGCATCATGGCCGTGCAAGTGTAATCGTCGTCCTGCTAGGAGAAGGCACAATGCTGAACGCTACCTCTCGATGACCCATTATCTTCTCTCAATCACAGCATGTCACAACACTCAGCGAGTTTTTAGATTGAGCTGCCGGTTATAGACCTTCGAAATACGCTGCTTAAAGCCTGCTCGGATCCTGCAGAGCTTTGTCCACGAAGCTGCGCAGCATCACTGCCTGCTGCCATTCAGACTGGCCCGACAGCGCGGCAAAGGCCGAGTTGTACGTGGAAACCACGCCCGCCACCGACGTGGCCGGGCGCTCAAACCGCACCAAAACATCTTGGAGCAGGCAAGCCGCCTGTCGCCATTCACGAGCCGTCGCGGCTACGGAGGTGCTGTAGGTGATGAAGTTCAACTGCACAGCCTTGTTGGAAGCATCCAGCAGGAGCAAAAGAACCTTCTCCCACATGTCTCCGCAAGCCTGTATGGCCGAAGTATATGATATCACATCAGGTTGAAATCCATTAAGCTCAAAGTCCCCTAGAAGCTTGAGGGCCTGCATCCACTTTGCAGCTCTCCCACAGCAAAGGATCGCAGAGTTGAGAGGCGCAACGTTTGCTTGGACTTGCCTTCTGTTCATGTCCTCCAGCAAAAAAAGCGCGTCTTGCCAAAGATTTCCGCAGGCCGCCAGCACACAGGAATAGGTGATCACATCCGGCTCAGTCTGAGCTTCCAAGAGCTCGGTAAACAGGGAGAGTGCCATAGAAGATGCCAAGCCCTTTGCGCATGCATTGAGGACCGAGGTGTAGAGCCTTATGCCGGGCCTGCATCTTATCATGATCCTGCTGAGCATGTGGACAGCCTTCCGCCACTCTTCTGCCCTCCCAACTGCCTGCAGAGCGGTGTTGAGAATCTGATCGGACAACCGAAGCGGAAGCTGTTCTGCTTCAGACAGCACGGAGAGGGCCCGGAGCCACTGCCCGCCGCGGAGGGAGGCCAACACGGCCCCGAAGGTCACCACACTCGGCTGCGTTTGCTCCAGCTGCGAGCGCAGCTGCGAGCGCAGCTGCAGAGCGGCTCGCCAGATGGCTTCTCTTTGGCAGCAAACGATCGCCGAGTTGAAGGTGACAAGGTCTGGCAGCAATCTTCCTGTTTCCATGTCCTCGACGAGGGAGAACGCCTGGTGCCATCCTCGGGACGCAGGCAGTGCAGAGATCTGCCGGTTGTATTCCCCTACTCGCTTCTCACTTCCACACATGGCGCCGAAAGGGGGGCCTGAGCCTGAGCCGAGCCGAGCACATATTCGTCTTCTCCCTCCGACTTCTTATTCCTATATGCACAAGGGCCTAAACGACTCCAAGCTGTGCTGTTGGGCTGTTGGGCTAGCGGCTAACCGCTTTATAGCATCTCAGGCCCCAGGCTTGTCTGTTGGCTTGCCAGAGATCTTGGCGATGTACTGGTAAAGGGGCATCTGGCCTCCAGCTGGGCACTCGGAGGATTGGGTGTTGACAGCACCAAGAGTGCAAGTGCGGGCCGTTTCGCGGCTGCCGTGAGCTCTCGCCGGGTTCCTGGCTCGCAGCTGCGCCAGCACGGCAGACCGCCATGGACACGGCCAGGATTGCATTGGCACCTCACGGCGGAAACTGTCCGTCCCTTCATTCGATAGCCAAGAGAAGCGGAGGCCATGACCCAGCTTAGACTTGGACCAACCTCGGCATCGCAGTGCAATGAACACACGGCGAACACCCATGCTCGCAAGTTCTAGGAGAAGTGCCCCACTCGTTCTTGGAGCCGTCCAGCTGCTGAACCATGACCTCTAGAGTCGCGTGAGGGTCGCATGCGCCTGCCTGCCGCCCCTGCCGCACTGCCTACCTGCACCTCGAAGCCTCGAAGCCTCGAAGCTCCGAAGTTCGGCCTCGTCGATCAGCTTCTGCTCGCGCACGTCCATGCCCACCAGCTTCGGCCCAATGATCTCGTTCACGTTGGCCACGGCCTGAGCAGCCGGAGCCGCCGGAGCCGGAGTCCGCTTCTTCTGCCGCCCCTGCCTTGAGCACCCCTTTCCCCAGCAGCCGGCCCTTGTCACCGTCGCGCAGCTCCAGCGCCTGAAAGATAGGACCAGAGCCGATGCCAAAGCAGAGCCGATGCGTACGCCGTTACGCCTCGTAGATGCCGGTGGAGGCGCCGCTGGGCACCGCCGCACGGAAGAGAGCCATCGGAGTGCAGAGGTCCACCTGATTAGAATAGGTATACGATAAACATGACAAGGAACCCCCAAACTAATGCAAGTGATTATTATGGCTTCTGCAAGCTGTAAGATTTCCTACGCCACCTGGCTCATCTTCAAGAGACACCGCCGATGCTTCAATATTTGGGCATTGGCACTGAGGTTTAAGGTACATCTCGGGACCCTGTACCCTAAACAACAGCACCTAAGAACCGAGGCTTTTGGGCTTGTAATATGTCGTACCGGAAGGAAACCACCGCGATCTCGGTGTCTTATACTTACTGTATCATAATACTATATTGTGTTATACTGCACTATTGTGAAGTATCCAATTGGCCCTTGCGACGCCCTTCAACTGCAAATGACTCGCTACTACGATCCTTATTATTCCAAGGAGTCCGACAAGCAACACCCCTAAACCCTAAACCTCCTTGGCTTTTAGGGTCAGGCTTCGGGTCGCATGTACAGCAAGCATTGAAGGAATGCTGGCGACAACCTAAAGCGCACCAAGAGCTATCTATCTAACTATCCATATATATATATATATGTATATATATATATGTATATATGTATATATGTATGTACTGATTGACTGATTGATTGATTGTGAAGCTTCTGCACTTCACTGAGTCAACATGAACTCCTGAAAGTGCTAGGACTTCTGTCAAGCTTCGGCTAAGCCAATCCATGTTGCACACCTTATTGCTGAAGCGGGTTGACAAGCAAACGAGACCAGGTTCAGGCTCGAGGACAAAGGAATGAATGCAAGCGCCGAAGACACCGGACCCTTCAACCTTGCACCAGAAACCTTCCCACCCAAAACCTAACCAGGCGACAAGCGGCCTATGCCATTGGTACTAGACTTGGGGTCCCACAGAACCTTTGAACCAGAAGCCTAAGCCCTGTAAGTCCTGAAGTGCTCCGGTCACAAGAACCGTGCAACTCGGAACACTTGCCCATGGTACCAAATATACAAAAGCATTACGGAAGTAGGCCTAAAGCCTAAAGCATAATATGAGAACAAGGAGCAGACCGCTCAAAAGAGACTAGAGAATTTGAGAACCAAAAGCAGACCGCTCGAAATCAACTAGAGACTTTGAGAACAAGGCGCAAACCGCTCGAAAGAGACTAGATACATTGAGAACAAGGAGCAAACCGCTCGAAAGAGACAGAACAAGGAGCAAACGGCTCGAAAGAGACTGCATCTGGCGATCCTGCGATCCTTCGAGCCTCCACGGTGGGGTTGCCTCTGGAATCGAAGATCTCCCTTGCCCGAACTTGAAGGATTTGGAAGGCACCTCTCGACAGAGCGGCACTGCGCCTCCGCGGGTTCGGGTTCGGACGAGGGGCCTCCGGCCGGCGCGTCGTCCAGAGCAGCCACGCCCGGCAGCACCTGCAGACTCCAACAAACAGAGGTCTTCAGGTGCTGGCGGCTGGCGCGGCTGGCGCTGTGTCGCCTTGCCCTCCAGGAGCTCCAGGGAAGCACCACCCCCGGTGGAGCAGTGGGTGACCTCGGGCCACTCAGGGAGCGGAGAAGCTCCACGCGAGATCCCGCTCCGTTTCGGTGTCAAGTGCCTTGTCCTCCGTGTCATACTTCTTGCAGGCCTGAGAGGCGGAGCTCAAGTGCCGCCTTGTTCTACTACTCGTGCACACTCCTATAAGGACAGTCGGAACTGCGAAGAAGCTTCGGCCGCCGGGCCGTTCTCCGGCTGGGGCTCCGGACCGTGGCGGTGTCGCCCCCTCCGATGACCTTTGCTTTCACGCGGCGGGATGGGGCAGCGGTCAGCATTCTTAGGGTGGGGAGGCATTGAGGGAGGGCTTTGGGAGGGAGCTGCAGAGGCTAAAGTGAAACAGCTGCCCGCGCGAGCCGGGAGCGCAACACTTGAGCTCACACATCTAGACAGTGGCAGGTAGAGCTTCATCCTCCATCGTGTATACAGAGCATCGTTCGGGCCTGCAGTTGCCTGGTGAATCTGGCTGCAACGTCACAGCAACATTGTCTCGCCGAGACGCCGTGACCGCGCCGGACTTGGTGACCTCCACGATCTTGTCCATCATCACTGGCAAGGAGTCGGAGAGGGAGGAAATCGGAGGGAAGGGAGGGAAGGGAGGCAAGGCAAAGGGAGGGTTCCACCACGCGCGGCCGGGACGCGCCTTTGGTGCCCGTCTCGAAGGCCTCGGCTGTCTTCGCCGTTGCACGTCATGTTGCGGCTCCGCCGCTCCGCTTCGCCGCTCTTCGCTGAGAGCTTGGCGGCCATCTCAAAGACGCCCATGGGCCCGTTCCAGACAATGGTCTTGCTCCTCTCAAAGACTCGCTCAAACCTCTTTCAGCTTCAAAGCAAACGAGAAAAGAACACGCTGAAAACCCATCTCTCAGCTTCCTTCGGCTTCTTTCGGATTCTTTCGGCTTAGGCTGCTCCTTGCAATGGTCGCCGAGTTCAAGGCGTTGCTCTCGGGGCCGCAGTCGAGGCCTTGGCGGAAGAAAAACACGGAGCCAATCCCCAAGTTGGAGGACTCGGAGGGGGGGAAGAAGCCAGAGATGGAGGCTCTTCACAACTCGAATTCTGATGCTGCTGATGCCGAAAACTGCTCCTTGCCGGGTTTGCCCTTTATCCTTGTTGGCCTTTTTCCTTGCAACCTTCGAAACACTGAAGCAATCCTCCCACACCCTTCTGGCACCGCATCTCGAGGCCCAGACCCATGAAGCCTTGGTGGAGGTGGAGGGGGCGGAGGGGAGGAGGGCACATGCGCGCATGCAAACCAACTGGCGCCGGCGCCGGCCCCGCGCAGTTGAAGCGCCTGGGCCCGCGGCCCTCGGGGATGCCGCTGGCGAGCGTGGCCGTCTTGATCTCCCCGTCCTTTTCCGTGCCCATGGCGGAAGGCGTAGATGCAGCAGATTCAGCAGATGCGGGAAAGTGCATGAAAGCGGGAGAGCCTCCCCGAACTTGGAGGAGATCACGAAGTCGATGGGCAGCACGATCTCCTCGGCTTTGGGGTTTGGGCCCCCTCTACCAGAAGCCAGACGAGACCCGTTGCCGCCAAAGGCTCGACTCCCTTGGCCTTGGCTTTCTCCATGATCTCCGGCACGATCTTCGCCCCCTCCTAACGCAGTGACGCAAAAAGAGCCAAAAGAAGAGGGAGAGAACTGAGAGAACTCCCGTGCGCTGCGCTGCAAGAGCCTCGTCGAAGAGGGAGTTGCCGATGCTCATGCCGTGCAGCACCTGGCAACTCGGCGGAGCGGCTCGACTCTTCGGGGATTGTGCCTGCGGCTACAGCCCTCTCTCTCCACTCTTTAGCCACGGCCTTGATGAAAGTGAAGGCCATGCCGCCGCCAATGATCATGGCATCCACCTGCAGGAGTGGCAAGTGCTGCGACATGGCCAGACGCGCCCGAATCCAAGCCGAGACTGAAGTTCGTTGCTTTGGCGAGCTCCGTGCTCCGTTCTTGGCTAGACCACTTGTCCCGCATGAGACCTATGCAGCACCTTGTCCAGCATGTTCTTGATGAGTTGAATCTTGTCCGTCACCTTGCACAGATTCTCCGCCCGTCCCGCTGCAGGACAAAGAGGTGACAAGACCCTGTGCCGCCCGGGCCTTGGCCCCGCCCAGAATTGCACAAACCGGCTTCACCGGGCTGTCCAAAACCTTCGCGAAGGCCTCCAGTTCCTGAATCAGTCCAAACCTCGATCAAGTCGCCCTACCAGCTGAAGATTTGCTACAGGAACGGCGGATATCGAGTTCGGGTATGGACAACCTCCATGCAACACGTCCTTGGCCACCAGGAACCCAGAGCACTTCACGGAGTAGCCCTGTCAGCAGGTAGAATGATCTCAACAACCGACCACGCAAAGGAAACCTTGGACTGATGCCTCACCCACCATCGAGCTGTGAGCACGATGAGCCGTGCCAAAGGCATCGCTGCCTGCAGGAGGCTCAGAACATCTTGCAGCTCCGCAGCCATCTGCCAAGGCCCGCACAGTAGACGTCCGCCAATTTGGCGATGGAAGCTCGGAACTCCTGTCCATGCAAGCCGCTGACATCGCTGCAAAGGCCACAGGTAAGGGCCGCCGAGCTCGAATCGCCACGCCTTCGTTTTCTCTTTGTCGGCCTTGATCTTGTTTCCATCCTTGCGGATTCCGGATACGGTATGGCTGCTTCGCTGTCTGGCCGTCGCCTCGCCTTGTCCTGGCCCTTGCCCTCCTCCTCCACGTGGAAGCGGCAGTTCTGGGCAGCGCGGCGAAGTGCGAGAGTGCAAGCCGCAGAAGAGCGCGACACGGCAGGCACTCCGCAGGCACTCCGCAGGCGAAGCCTCCAGCAGGATCACGGACCCCGGCGCAGGATTGGCGCAGGCGGCCTCGAGAGCGAGAAGCGCATTCGACGACACCGAGCAGAGCAGAGCAGAGCCGCAGAGCCGCAGCCTCAACCTCTGGGCCACAGCAGTCCTGCACAACGGCTACAGCGACAGCCCCGCTGCACCGCTCTGCAGTGGGGCTGCAATGGTCGTCCTTCAGGAAGGTGACTGGCTTCCCCAACTTTTCTTGGACGCACTTTGCGACCGGAGCCAGCGAGTACCTGCTGCAAAGGAGTCGTTCGACTGATGCAGTAAGTCTTTCGCGAGTAGTAGGTACCTTCGAAACTGCTGACACTCAGTTCATGTGTCCCCGGCGCACTTCTCAACGACACTTCCATCCGGTCGGCCCAGGTGTGAACAGAGCACGACGGATTTGCAACCCTGTCGACGAAAAGATGCAAGGAACATACACGGCAAGGCAGGCTAGCAACTGTCCCACTTCCATCCAGCACCGAACTTGCAAAATGTTTCACCGCCTCATCTTACAAAAGACGCTGTTCAACGGCGAGACCAAAAAACCGAACCTTGTCGAGACAATACTTGATGGTGGGCAATGCCGCATCAATGCGCTGCGTGTTGGTGATGATGCTTGGGTCCTGAACTCAACAGTTCGCAATGTTTCGCTCAACACTACGCATCACGCTTCTGCCCGCAATACTTCATAAACCTGACTGCAAACTTAAGCTTCGATCTTGGACACTTTAAGCATTCCGCACCTTCTTATCTTGTGGCACATTGAAATCGACGCGGATGAACACACGCTTGCCAGCCACATCGACTGAATCAATCCTGCAGTCGTGTGAATGTGTTGCGAGGACTGCCACCAGCATACGCGAAACGGACCTGCCTTAGTTTGTTCAACGCCATGCCGGAAGCCTCACTGGACGGAAACGGGTCTCTAGAGCCAAAGCTGTGTCAAACAGCGTTCTTCTTGCTAAGTCATGTGCGAAATGCAAACAAACGGCTGAGCTTTGCTCAAAAAACGGAATTCGGGCTTATCAAGGATCGCTATGCTGGAAGAATCCGACATTCAAATTCGGGCAGCCTACCAACCTGCTCATGACCTTTTTTCAGCTCCTTTTTGATGTCCGCTCGCCGTCTGACTAACAAGCATCAAGACCGACGTCGATGAGGAGGTACATGCCAATACGGCCATGCACTGACACCCTCATTGTCGACAAGGGCCAGCTTTCAAGACCCCTCATGTTCCCTCGGCTGCAGATTAACTTGTTGGGTTCAACAGCACGACCTCCCACGTCAGCCACCAGTAAAAACTTTTGAGCCCGCTGGTCAAAACAAATTCGCACTCGCATGAGCTCACGAGCTCAGGTAAAGTTAGTGGGAAAAAGCCAGTCAGCAATGTTGCTCTGAAGATGCACGGTCAACACAATACAAACGAATCCTGACGGCCGACGCTGCCAAGAAGCAAACCCCTTGTGACAGATTCCAACGTCAGACTACCATGCATCTTTCGCATTGAAGCATTTCCGTCACAAAACCTCGTCCAATGTCCGCATGTCCATTCTTCCAAACTCCGTCAATCTTTGCGAGTGTGGGATCCGACACAAAGTTGCTCGAACTCAAACATCTCACACAGCAGTTGTACTTTTGCCTTGTTGTACAGCCATGTTGTTACGTTGAAATGTAGTTGTACTGCTCTCTTCTAGTCACGTGAAGGTGCTTTCTTCTCCAAGACGTAGCTGCTCAAATCGAAAATCGTGATGCGCAGTGGTCGACCATCGAATCACAAACAAGAACTTTGTTTGACTCATGGGTGGAACGAGGCTTTCGAGAACGATGGTTGAGGTCAGGGATCAAATGAAGGAATTTTGGTTGGTTCTCTTTTCTTGTGAGTTGAAGAGTTTGGCGCATCTTCGAGCGCTTTGCGTGACAAGGTTGACAATCGCGGTTTTTCCGGCACAGAACCAAGTGTTCAAGGCCTCGTGTTTGCACAAGGGAAGCGTGGAACAAATCCTCAGCCAAGTCCAAGACACTGCCGAAGCGGAAAGCAGACTAAGTCAGCAAGAGCCCGTTTAGCAAACAAACCTTCCAAGCTGTACAAGGAGTCGTGTCTCTCTCTGATGCCGTGGCCTCCAGACTGCTCCAGAGATCGTCGTGCTTGGAGCTAATTTAAAATCGAAAGGGTGTTGAGCGTACGGCTTCGGACCAAAAACGAAAGATCGGCAGGGTTCAGGGGCGTAAGACGCAACGATCTTCGGCCCTTTAGCCCGAAAATTTTCCTCGCAATCGGAGCTCGACGATTGTGCACTCTCTCGCTACCCTCACTTCGCTCACTCCGCTCACTCGCTCACTCCGCTCACTCCGCTCCCTCACTCACTCGCTCGCTCCTCATTCACTCACTCCGCTCACTTCGCTCACTCGCTCGCTCCGCTCCCTCGTTCGCTTCGTTCGCTCCGCTCGCTCGTTCGCTCGTTCGCTTCTCTTACTCGCTCGCTCGCTCGCTCCGCTCTCTCGTTCGTTCTGTTTGCTCCGCTCACTCGTTCGCTCCGCTCGGGTCGGCAATCGTCGAGCTCCGATTGGCTCGGCTTAAATTTTGGGCTAACGGGCCCAAGATCGTTGGGTCTTACGCCCTTAAGCCTGTCGATCTCTTCCAGCCGCGCGCTCAACACCTTTTCGATTTTGAAATGGCCTCAAGCACCACGATCTCTGGACCCAAGAAACGCGCTCGATTTGACCAAAAACTGGCCCAACCTCTTGCCAAGGAAGGCTGCACAAGCTCACAGGACGCTCAAAAGCTGCTACTCGACGAGTTGTCGTTCATCTGTTGTTCACCTACGAGAGTACGGGTGAACGACAAGCAGGGAATGTCGTTCACCTGTTGTCCACCGACACGTGAACGACGAGTTGGCTTGCTTCGAGCGGGTGAGTTCTGCAGCCCTTGTAGTCACCCCAAAACTTATCAGAAACCTTGGAGCTTTGGGTGATTGCATCCAGGTTCTTTTGCTAAGGTTCAGGGTTTAGGGTTTGGGGTTTAGGGTTCGGGGTTTAGGGTTTTGGCTTTGAGGTTTAGGGTTTGGGGTTTAGGGTTGGGGTTTAGGGTTCAGGGTTTGGGGTTTAGGGTTTAGGGTTTGGGTTTAGGGGTCAGAGGTTTGGGCTCAAGACTCAAGATCCCCTTGACGCTAAGAGTTTTGGGGATTTGGGTTTGGGGTTAAGGGGTTTAGAGGTTTGGGCTCAAGATCTGCTTGATGCTAAGGGTACCCTGCTACCATGCTTAGGATTCTTATGAGGGGTCTATAGGGACTAGGGGCTTACACGGGGACTTATAAGGCGTCTATAGGGGTTACAGGGTGTTGCGTGGAAGATTATGGGACTTAGCTATTGAAGGATTTAACATAGGCGCCTTCATAATTAGAATGGGGTTTTGGGGTGTATATACATACTATCTATATTCAGAACAAGGAACCCCCAAAATAGTGTTGGTCATTTGTAAAGCCCCATTTATTGTGGCTACGGAGTTTGGGCTGGCCCCTGGTGGAGAAAAGCTCTAAAAACCCATCAAGTTTGGCCATGCTCATTAACGTTCGGGTCTTGAACGAGCCCCATGACGAGCTTTCGTGATGACGCAAACCTTAAACCCTAAAGACCATGTCTGCAAGAGGCGCAGGCTGTTTCAAAAAACAGTTCGCTCACTTTTCTCCCGCTGCCAGCGTCAAATTCGGTGCGGCATATCCCCGGGCGGGTCTTCCGCCGGGGTCCTTGCTGTGAACGCTTGTGAAATTGTCGTTAGCACTTGAGGGTTGGGGTCTGTGGTCCGTGGTGTCAGTCGGCACCCGGGGGCAGCATCGAAGGCGCCACCACACCATGGCTATCGCCCGCTTTGCTTCCCATGAAATGCTCCCATACTTGTGGTGGCCATTGGACATCCATCGGGACCTGAACACGGCAGCCCAGCCCAGAAGCCGACTTCCAAATGAAAGATATCACAAATGCCGCTAACTGCACCTTTCCGACATACGAGTATAGTGTATATTGGTTATACTAATAGTATCAGGGTGGGCAGGAAAGGGATCTCCTCAGAAATACGCACTTGTTTACACAGTCAAAGACTCCAATATCCTTTAATTAAGGAATATTTCTGAAATGCATATTAGGGATCCTACTATAATTTAGCATATATTCCTTAGGGAGGACAGAGGCTTGCTCGTAGCTCAGAGACAGGGTTCGCCATGCTGGCAGCCTTTATGAAATCATGGTGGGGAGACTGGCCTCCTGTTAAGGAATTTACTTTAGGCTACCATAATAAGGAAACCAAATTGTCTACTATAGATTTCTATCATGGTAACTTAACCTTAAACCCTCAACCCTTAAAGGAGCCCTTATTATAGATTACTTAAAGGAACCCTTATAGACTTATAGATCCCGGTTCTGACAACTTAAACGAAACTCCTAAACCCTAAGCTCCTAAATAAGAGCCCTGAAGCCTAACCCCTAAACCCTAAACCTTTAAATCCAGCTCCTTCCCTAAGGGTCCATGTACCCAAATAGTATATACATTAGCCTTACAGTGGTTCCTATATAGGTACTTTGGGGCCAATGTATATGCTATTTGGGTACATGGACCCGTATATAGGGCTTAACAAGAACCTAAACTACGGCTACCTCCTCTACTCCTACTCCTACTCCTACTACTCCTACTCCTACTCCTACTCCCACTCCCACTCCCACTCCCACTCCCACCCCTACCCCTACCCCTACTCCTACTCCTACTCCTACTCCTACTCCTACTCCTACTCCTACTCCTACTCTACTATGCTATACTCTACCATACCATACTACCACTACTACTACCACTACTACTACTACTACTACTACCACTACTACCACTACTACTACGAATACTACTAATACTACTGCTACTGCTACTGCTACTGCTACTGCTACTGCTACTACTACTACTACTACTACTAGTACTACTACTACTACTACTACTACTACTACCCAGGAGAACTGCGACTTGAAATGCTCCCTGCTTACTTCAGAGTTACACGCCTAAACGCCAGCCCCAAAATCTCACGCAAGGCATCAAGCCCTTAGGGGTTCTTCAAAGGGGTCTATAAGGGTTACTACAAGGGATACTTAGGGTTCCTTTAAAGCGGTAAGGGTTACTATAACGGATACTGCAAGGGTACTATAGTATAGGGCCTGAATCATAAAAGCTGGGAGTTGCCGAATATAGGGACCCTAGTATAGTACCTTAAATAGTAGGATCCTTGCCTAGATTCCCCAGAGACTCCAATAGCCCTTAATTCAGGACTATTCTTTAAATTATGGTTGGACCCCTTTATATGATTTCAGGAATATTTAATTTCTTAATTAAGGGATCTTGGAGTCTCTGAGTCTACAGCTGCTGCCAAGGCAGAGCCAGAAATGACTGAACAGGAACCAGGATGCACGGTGTCTGGCTGCAGCATCGAGAAGCCAGAAACCGACAAACGCGATGTGGCCCAAAAAGCAGAGGGAACACCCCATGAAACTGTACCAGCCACCAGCATTCGTGAAGCAGCCCTTGTAGCAATTGGCGTGCGCAGGCGGGCCACAAAGGTCTTCTGTGGCAGCTTGGAAGATTGACCCTGAGGCGGCTAGGAGGATCATGCAGGCTGCGGACCCGTGCGCAATAGCAGTGCCCCCTCCGATTGAAGAAGCTCTTGCCACGCCGGCCCAGATGCAAGCGAAGTAGAGGTCAACGACACCCGCTGCAGACATAGCCACTATGGTGCTTTGTTGGGAAAACAAGAAGAGACATGTAAGAACCACTGGCAGAAAGAAGAATGACATCAGCCATGACGTCAACCAGAGGATGTGCATCCCTTCCCAAACTACTTCCCCGAATCCAGTAGCAAGTGCAAGCCAAAAGAACAAGGACACCACCACCATGGCCCGGCCGGCCAAAGCAAGCGCGAGGCCATCCCGCTGGTTGAAAGCAACATGCGCGACTCCCTCCAGCAGATAACCGACGCCACGAAGTAGACAAGCTGCAATCAAGGCTTTTCGAAGCCTTGGGGAAGCTGATACAGGCACAAAGCGAAGCACCAGCGCCGTGAGCCACATGCCGATACCTCTGTGGGCAAAGTACGAGTATTTCAATGCTCTCCAAAGCGTAGCTCTGGACACGTATCCTCATCCCTAAACCCCAAACCCTAATCCTAAACCCTAAACCCTAATCCTAAACCCTAATCCGGAAGCCTCTAGGCCTAAAGCCCACTTGCACTGACCAGCTGCCGACAAGGAAGAAGGCAGCGCAGGTGCCTGCATGAGCCTCGGCTTTGAAGTAACCAAGGAGAAAACAGTGTCAAAACTCATATGACAATGCATCCCAAACACCTTAAATCCTAATCCTAAGCCGAAACCCAAACCCCAAGTATGGTACTCCAAAACCCTAAACCCTAAACCCTGTTCCCCTAAACCCCTAAACCCCTAAACCCTAAACCCCTAAAACCCTAAACCCTAAACCCCTAAACCCCTAAACCCCTAAACCCCTAAACCCTAAAACCCTAAAACCCTAAAACCCTAAAACCCTAAAACCCCTCAACCCTAAACCCTAAACCCGAAACCCCTAATAAACCCCTAACCCTCAACCACCCTAAACCCCAAACCATACTCCCAAACCCAGGAGCCGCTGCGTGGAGGTACGGATCGCGGATGACGGTCGATGACAGGCGCAGGCGCTTCACGACGCAATCGGAGTCCATTTGGGGGGCTCTTCTAAATTAGGGTCCCTTTTTGGGTACCTATTTGATTAAGGTCCCTTTTGGGGTATCCTATATAATAAGGACTATACTACTATTGGGCTCAACAAGGGACCAATTTAGAACAACCCTGATTTGTTCAAGGGAGCAAACGGAAAGCTGAGTGTGGTTTCGAACCGCGTACGCTGTGTTCGAGGCGGGCGTGCTGCGCACCAGTTCGAGGAGTTGGCCAGAAGGGTGCCTTCAAGGGCTTATGCTGATCGCGTGGTGCTTACGTCTTCTTGTTTTATTCCCATTATCCAAGCCCTTGGCGAACGAGGCCACGCAGGAAGGCCGTCCATCCCAAAACCGTGATCATGAAGCATGTAACAGCTAACTCATGCTAACTATGTATTGGCCGCAAGAGGCCTGCAAGTAGTGTCACTGACAGCGACAGTGTGGCCTCGACATGACGCACTTGGACAGTCGACTTAGAAGGTGCGCTTGGTAAGATAGGCTATCAGGAGTGTACTTGGGATGATAAGTAGTCTTGCCAGCTCAAGAAAGCCTCCAAGAAAGCTGAAGATGCAAGGCTCTGAGAGGGTATGGTCATCAGGCCTTCTTATGGGTTTGCCGAGGCACCTCCCATCTTCCATCCGTTGTAGTGACTTCACCATGTAGTAGCTACTGTCACGGTGTTGGGTTCGGGCTTTGTATAAAAACAGCTCGAGGGACATGGGCCACAGGAATGAAGTGATTAAAGCACAGTGGATTGTGGCCAATGCCTCAGCATCGCCTTTCTGGAGATGATTCAGGGGCCGCGAATCGGAGGGACCCCACTTGGACAAAGCACCCATACTGTTGATGATATAGACCTTGCATTACCTTAAGGATCCTGATCTGTGGAAATTATAGTATGTTCCGTATTGCGGGGAATGCAGGAGTTATATCATCAACCACATCATCGGTGCTTTTGCTTCCCAGTGACTTTTTGCTGGACTTTTGAAAGGTTTGAGACTGTAGGTTCGAGAAAAGAGTCACGAAGGCCTTGAGCATGAACCCCAAAGACACAAATCCAGAACATGTGCTCAAGCGCTGTCGCCGAATGACGGGGCGAGCTTAAGAAATGTGATCAATTGTGATCAATTTCTGTCGCCTGAAGGGGTGGGTTTGAGAAGTGTGCTCAATGGGGGCCGAGTTAACAATCTGATTGACATTGGCCACGTTCATCGCATGAGGGCGCGGGCTTGAGAAATGTAATGAACCTCTCTCTACCCCCAATGGGGGGGCAGTTCGAAGAAACATGATCACACAGGGGGGGGAGGCAAGTTATCCGAACCCTAGACATTCTATCTGATCTAGGTGTGCACGTGTTAGTTCGGCCCCGCGGGACCGCACTGCGGCCTGCCTGGCCAGATCGCAGCGATCTCCAATGCGCGGCTCTTGTGACTTTGAAGATACAAGTTTCAAGGCCGGTTTGTGAGGTTGTGCAGGATCTGGAGTTCGGGGCTCGCTGCACTACCCACCGGCCCGAAACCGATCTGGCTTGATCCGAGTTTTCGCCCCGGCATGCACCGAAACTGGCCACTGGGACCCCCAACTCACAACTCCCAGCCTTCTAGAACCATTACCTTGTCCAGCAGCTCGGGTCAACAAATGTTTCGATGCCCCCAATCCATAATCGATCGCGGAATACCAAAAGATGATGCTGAAAACGGACAGGGCCCTGGCAGTGTCCGCGTCCTGGTCCAGCCAATCCTAGTAATCGTTACGTAGTGCTAGGACGATGGAGATAGATGTGCTTGTTGTGGGCTTCCAAAAAATCGCGTTCTGGCCGGATTCCGGTGTTTGCAGCGTCGGGAACCCCGGCAGAAAGCACGACCCGCCCACACAGAGAAAACCACGAAAAGCGCAAGCAAAATGACCAAGCAAGCCCACAAACTAAAGAGATGCAGTGCGGCAGTTACACACACACACACACTTAGACCAGCATATGTATGTGTGTATCTACGTATACATATACAGGTGTATATATATGCGTATGCACATGTATGTGTGTATACACACACATATGCCTATACATATGTCTGCATGTGTATATGGCTCAAATGGTGTTCGACGAACCTGTTTGCAAAAGCAAATAAACAAACACAGGCGGGAAACATCGGTGGTATGAATACGTTCAACACATTAGTTGTAACGGCCGAGAAGCCATACGCCAAGCCCGACAACACAGGACCAACCAAGCAACAGAAACACGGCATGTTACAGTAGTAAAATGACTCAGAAGTTGCTTTCGAATAAATGTCAGTTCAAAAGAGCAAACACTATGGCTGCGGAAGTAGCGAAGCTGTTCACGAATCAATCGGGTTGAAGGCTTTCATAGCAGGCCTTCTGGCTTTTGCAAAAAGAAAAAGATAAATAGAAATAGATGTAGAAAAAAGGAGAGAGACAGAGAGTGAGAGAGAGAGAAATAGATGCAGACCCAGACGATCTAGAAGAAATTAGAAAGACAAAGAAATATGTAGAGAAAATTTAGAAAAAGAGAAATAGAAAAAGAAAGATAGAGAGAGAGAAGAGAAAATATAAAAAACTAGAAATAAAGAGATAATTATAGAGATAGAGAGCGATAGAGAAATAGAGATAGAAATAAAACTGTTTTAGGTAGGCTTGCACTGCTCTGGATCTGTAGGCGCTGCGGCTAGCTGAAGGCTGACCGACCATGGGGGCATGATCGGTCAGGCAGCAAAATCCCCCTGCTAGTCTTTGTGAAAAGGCATGTGAAAAGGCATGCAACCGTTTGGAATTAAGACGTATGCTAGGGCAGCAAGAGGCTGTAAACTGCACTGCAGCATGTCAAGGCAAAAGAAACGGCCTGGCGCTGCGTCTCAGGGCTGGGTCGGTACCGGGAGCGGGCGTCCGGCGTGGTAAGTCGGCCGAGGCGGCCCACTAGCGTGAAACAAAAAAGGTCTGTGAAACTCACAGGGCTGTCAGATGGCTCAGGAGTCGTCGATGTCAAGACCTGGGCACAGGGGGTCTAGGGCCTAGGGAGGGAATTGAGGGAATGCAACGGGGCTGGGGCTGTGCGTCTCGCGGCAGATGCAGAGGAGGATGAAGACCTGCGGGGCGAGCACATCGAACGGCTAGGAAGCAAACTTCCGAGGCAAAGGCGAAGGCTGGCAGTCAGGGATCTAAGACCAATGGTTGGCTTGTGCAACCTGAAGGCGAAAGGCTGTCGGAAGGCTTTTTGCATCCATCAACCAAGACCCTTGGCTCGTCGCTGCCACGCTGAGGGCTAAGGTACCTGGCAAGGCAGCAGGCTATAGGTGCGGGCGGGCGGGGCTTTTCGTTATCGTTCGAAGATCGTGCTTTGTGTTTTGATGTCTATCATGTTTGAACCTTCGGGGATAAATGCTTGCACTCGCACATGCCACATGCAAGCAGTTCAAAGCTCGACGGTATTTTCACACGTTGGGGTAGCAAGTACCGCACACGGCAGAAAACTTCGAACTGTCGGTCCTGTGAGACACAAGACTCTTTTTTGTCCCCTCCGAAAGGAGAACTAGCCACTCTCAAGCCGTGCACGGCTCACAAACTGAACCTTAGTGAACGGCCTGCCAGTCGAAGACGAGCAAGACCGAGTAACTGCGAAGCAGAGAGCCAAGACCCGAACCAGGTCTTATGCATAAAGCATACCTGAGTGTCCTCAAACTGAGGTCCAAAGCTTCCTGAGGTAGCACAACACTGATGCAATCTCTGCACTTTCCACGAATCAATTAGGGTGGAGAGGGTGGGTATTTCAAATAAAACTCTCGCCCGATTCAAGGGCTTCCTGCCCCTTCGAGAGGTCAAGCTGCAACGGACGAATGTGTTCTTCAACTTGTTTACAGCATGTATGAATAAGGGTTCATAACAAGGCAGTGTAAAGGAAAAGCCCTAAAACAACAAATCAAAATTGGACTCAGTTCTCTGAGCCATTTTGTTATGTTGTTTTTCTTCAAACGATAAAGCCATATCTTCTGCAAGTGTTCAAAGAATGTAACAGAACTGCAAGTGCTAGAGCCAGGCTACACGAAGGCATGTAGGCATGTTACGTGTAGAGATTCGCAAGCTCCGAAAACATTCCTGAAACAAAACAGGTAACGTTTTAGGTAGGCTTGCACTGCTCTAGCACTTCAGCTCTCTTTTTACCGTGTTGGATCTGTAGGCGCTGCGGCTAGCTGAAGGCTGACCGACCATGGGGGCATGATCGGTCCCCACCGCGGGCGGTGGAGCTGGACCTGTGCAAGGCAAGAGTTGACGGCAGGTCTCTAGCAAGGCTGGGCTGATAAAGTCCGCCCTGAAAGGCATCAGTCTTTTTTCCCCTTGGTGTCGGCAAGTCTG